GAGCTTGCTTCACTGAGGAAGGCTGCCGAGTTTGACACCATCTGCAACGAGATTATCCCCAAGAGCATCACAGAGATCCGCAGACTAAGTAGCAGACTGTCTTCCTATCCTCGAGTCCTCAAGAAAGAAGACTTTGAAAGGACAGTGCTGACCATGGTCTACACGGCCTACAGGGCTGCTCAGTCCCAGGGGCACCAGAAAGAAGCTTGGGCTGAATCCTTTGTCAGTCTTTACAAAGCCCTGAAGCATGACTTGATGTTCCCATACAAGAAAGACCCATCATAATGGGAGACTTGATGCAACAGCAACTCAGCCACCTCTTCCGGTTGATAAGGGACACGTGTAGCACGTCCATCACTTTATTCTATAAAGAGGTTAATAGCCTGCTTCATGAAAGATTATTTGTTTTCTAGCTCCCTCTTGTGGAATTCATTTTATAGTGCCATGTAAAATGGGGAAAAATGTTATCTTCAGTCCTGGGAATTTGGTTTTTGTGCTGGCTTGGAGATACATTCTGTAACAAGCAGAGAAGTGAGTCTGGCGTACGTGCCAGACAGATAGGCCTTTGTTTCGTCCTGTGGGTTTCCTATAAACAATATGTAAGCATACTATGCTTATGCTCACATACCTATGCGTATGTGCTGGAGAACGACGATTTCCTAGCTAGGGAAACAAGTTCATATTTTGGCTGGCCAGTAAAAGAGTATTATAAAGAGATGTAAAGGCCCTCTGTAAAAAGAAGATGATTCATAACTGTCAGCCTTCAGAAATTATGCCAAAAATATTAATTTCAAATGTTCTTGTAAATAAGCACTGTCTGATTCACTTCATTTGGCTGAGACAGTTTTGAATCACAATAACATTTGCAGAAGACAAAGGGCATTGTGAACACCAGCAGCAAACAATGCCTCTGAACATATTCCCCGCTTCCCAGAGCTGCCCTCCCAAAGAGTCGGCAATGATTCTTTCATTATTTGCACATGATTTTGCTTCTGCTCCTTGGTTTTTTGAAGCAAACATGGATTTATCCCCAGCAGAGTCAAAGGGAAGGCAAAGGCCCTGTTTAATCTAATGATGACACATTTTTCCTGGTTCTATCACTTGAACGTAGGTTATCTAAACCGGTGCTTCAGAATCCCCCTGAGGCAAGGGAGGAAGGTGCATTAAAACATACCTGGTGCTGAATTTAGCAGTGTGGCTCATTTTTGATCACAAATTATATACTCACTTGTGTATACGTGTGTGTATGTTCATGCATGTGTGTGTATGTAAGTGCTGAGTACATGGAAGAATCCTAAATTGTTCAGTCAAGGAACAATTGCATCTGAAAAAGCCATTCACCAATCTAGCAGTGGAAATTATGACTTGGGGAGCAGTGGAAAAGCAGTACTTGTTTACAGCAAAAACTGTTTGTAGAAATAGTGCAACTGATTATTATAAATTGCAAAAAAATCATGGACAGAAAATAGACAGGAAAATGAGATATATCTTGTCAGACAGATGATTAGCAATGAAAAATCCACACGCTTCTAATGCAAATCCCATAATTTTTGGGAAGAATTTATGCAGACTCTGTTTCTCCATTGATAATAGAGGTGCTTCTACTTCTTGAGCAGGGGAAAAGAGCTGAACATTTATTTCATCCTTTCATACCAGCACTCTCTATCTCTCTCTTTGCATGTCTTAAGGAGATAGGCTCAAACCACAAATCTCTGAGACTGTGAAAGAGAACTGCGGGACTCCAGTCCCAGTTCTGAATCATCTTGAACTGCTTCTGCATCACTTGGGCAAAAAGCATAAACTCTTCTTCATCCCTTAACAGGGAAGCTTCAAGGACCGGAGCTGAAAGAATCCATCCGGCACCACCTTGTTGCAGCCAACAGCAAGGAGTGCAAGCAGTCAGAGCATGCTGGGCTGGGAATGTGGACGCGCAGCAGCCTTAGTGGCAGGCTGGCAAGGGCACAAACGGCTGGAGAAAGGGTTTAGAAAAGACACCGTCAGTCCTGTTTTTCCCAGCAGTTTCTGTACATGTACACATGAGTGTGCACGTTCACATTTAGATGCACATATATGTAGGTGTACTTTTACACCTGAAGATCTTTGCTGGCCATCTTCAAAGCCTGGCTGGCATTTGGTAAAGGGAACTGAAAATCCCAGACACAAAGCTATAAGCCACAAGTATTTCCACCTCCTCTACTTGCACACGCAGCTCAGTGCCCACAAAGCAGCCTTGCGCCACAGCCCACATGCCCTTTAAGCCCTCAGCATCAACACTGATGACCTGATTGTGTTTTCTTCCCACACCATGCTTTGTAAACACATGGAAGGGGAATAGCATGGAGCATACTCCTGCCCTTCCAGCTGTGCTTCTTCTTGGGTCCCTGAAGCACCACTTGCTGGAATAGCCTGCAACAAGGGCAACTCATAAATCCCTTACAGCCAGTGACTCCAAGTTTGCCAAGATAACAAAACAGAGCACCACAGCAAGTATTAATCAGTAGCAGTCACTATCCAGAGAAATACCTCCCAGCCACTCTCCTCACCCCATAAGAGCACTGTCCAGCAGTCAGAGTTTATTCAGCAGTATCTCACGGAAAAGAATTATAGATAGTTTTGAATATCCAATCATTTCCTATGGCATATGTACCTTCCTATATCTTACAAACAGGTAATTGAAACCTTTACCTTCCCTACAGAAAATAGTCTTTCTGAGTTTATTTCCCTTCTCCCATTACTGCGTGTAGTGCGGGAAAAGAGATTTATTCCTTGGGAATGTGCTTCGACTGCGCAGGTTAATTTAACAGAGACTGTCAATATAATAATAAAAATACTCTACATAAAACTAATTGGTTTTGTGGTGCATTGATTCCAGCAGCAGATTTAATATTTAGCAAATTGCAGCATGGGTAATCGGTTATCTCACTCTGCAAAACTCTTCAGGGGAGCAAAACAGTACAGGGGAGAAGGGTGAACAGCCCTTCCCTCCAACGGGCAGGAGGAGGTGATAAATAGGAACACGAGTGCTCCCTTTCTCCAGAGCTCAAGTGGGAAGGAGCACTCTGCCTCAGGGCAGCTCTTCGGGCTTAGGGCATCTTCCCTCCTCCAGCACTGTGTAAGGTGCAGGCGTGGGTTGCCTGTTCCCGAAGAAGGGAGAGAGGAAAGACTGTCAGCTCTCCCCAGCTCATTGTGCATCTCATTACTGCAGACTGAGTCATGTTTAGAGACAGTCCTTCTCTCTTGGGGTAAAGAGCCATTGCCTTGAAATGGCACATTTTACCCACCCTTTGACCTGATGGATCATAAAATAGTGAAATAAAACATAGATTTTTTTTTTCATTTAAATATTTTAAAATATTTTCAGTATTTCAGACATTCTTTTAGCTTCTCTGCAACAATTCACAAAACAGATATCAATTCATTGGCTGTATTGGCCAAGCCACAATCTTCACATTAAATATATTTTTGCTTCCAGAACTAATTGCTAAACTTGCCTGAAGGGTCTCAAGGTGCCATTGTCTGACGGAAGCTTCAAAGTATAGAAACGTTACACAGTCTTAGATACAATTACTAATTTCAGGAGGAATTTGTGCTGCACAGCAAATTCCTCTGCACACCCACCTTTGCCAGTTCTCCAGGACGCAGTGTCCCAGAAGCATCCCAGTTCAGTCTGGGGAGCTCAGTTTGTGTCTGACACGCTGAGCGTGGGGAGACGATACACAAGCGAGGTTTGAGATCATGTAAAACCCTAGATGTGTGGCTTTCCATGAGATATAGGGCAAATTGATGTCTGTCTACAGCTTGTGCATGCAGCCAGCCAACGGATTCGGTCCTAAATCTAGAACACTTTCTGCCCCACAAAGAGCATTAATAATGGCAGAGTTGTAGAAACATTTCTCCCCTAGAAGACCAGAGTAGAAAGCCTAAAAAATCTCAGTTTGAGTCTGAATCCTACTGTTACTGAGGGCACGTGGATCACCACAGAGATCAGCCCATGGCTTATGAATAAGTGATGTTCCTGGATCAGGACGGAAGAAACATGAAAGACAAAAGGTACTGTCTAGCAAACAGTGATTATTATTTATTATTTTACTGGGAAACAATAACTGACTGTTCAGCAACCAAAAAAGGTATTTTTGTCTGGTTTTGTGCATGTCAGAAACAGGAGGCTGTTGATTTTCTCAAATGTTCTCACTGGGTTTTGGAGAATGGGTGGAGCAACTACTACCTTCCACAGTCCTCATTGGTGAGTTAGAGTTGCACGAAGATTTTTAACAAGTTTTTATCCTGAGACCAAGTATAATCTGTGTTGGAATTGTCGCCCTGTGAATTCCAAGCTCAGGGCAAAAGTAGGGTAAAGGTAGATACAAAGTAGAAGCTGAAACTACAGCGAGAAGACAAAATCTGGAGGAGCTGCAGAGGTTTTTTTGTTTTTTGGGGTTTTTTTGAGAATGAATACCTGCAAGTATGTTTCTGTGCGCTGAACCACAGATTTTTGGTTTTAATAATTTTTCAGCAGAAAAGAAACCTCTATTTCAGACATTCAGACTATCAAACAGGAGGAAAAGAAGCAGCCTGAAACGCCTCATCCAGTGAATGAAAACAGGAATTACATTGATGGATGATGGAAGAAAAAAGCCTTCCAAATTATGGGGATAAGAATGCAACACAGCTAGACCTGCGGTTCTGAATTAAAAAGAAAAATTGTCAAAAGAACAGTATGCTTCAACTTGCAAACCTCTGCATGTTACGGTGTGCTAATAATTTTGATGTGCTGGTGAGCCCTACTTAAACTGAATGTCTTTTTAATTGAAAAATCATTAAGGTTTCTTCTCAAAACAACAGAGTGAAGAAAAAACAAATTACGAAAGCTATTTTAGGTGACTGGGTAGCTTCAGGGAAAGCCAAGCACAGGTGAAAGAACGCGTGGAGTGGAAGCTGGAGTATCTGAGGAACCGGAGAAGCAAGCCAAGGAGAAGAAAGTCACCAGAAAGTAGAGGAGTATGGCAATGATGAAAGAGATTCTCCGATCCAGAAATCTCCTGCTCGTTGTTCTCATTCCACTTCTGCTGCTTCCTCTGCCACTTTTATACCCCAGCAGTGTAAGTACATTTTCGTTTTCATTTTCACAAAGCCTCTGAGTGCAGTAGGTAGTCATGCTGGATAAGTCTGCAGCGTGCAGAGCATTGCTCTTAGAAAAATCAAGGACTCTGAAGGACGGGGAAGGTCACCGACAAGTCATCACAGTAAGGACCAGAGCTAGTTTGAGTCATGTCACAAGCAGAGCTGAAGAACCAGATGAAGCTAGCAAAGCGCTGCTTTAAAGCAGAAATATTGTACCTCTTCTTTTTCTACAACAATGCGTGTGTGGAAGGGGGAACAGACAAAACGCATCCGATAAAATGTTCTTTAAGAAGAGGTCTTTAAAAGGATTACTTTTAGTTTTCAATAATAAGTAAGCATGGAGGGACTTTCAATTTAGTGTGGGATTATGGGACAGCAATTCAAGTGAGGCAGGAGCTAAGAGTTAGTGACAGAACTGTAGGACCATATGTCACACCCATTATTCGAAAGAAGGTGTAGGCACCTCTACTGAAACCCTGCAGCTCTGGCAGTGGCTAGTAAATCATGGCTCAGAGACACACACCGCAGTACAAAGGAGGGAATAGTCTGTGCTTAACTCGTAGACCAGGGAAGAGGAGTGAATGCAGAGGCATTCCCGGCACCGCTTTGGAGCGGTGTACCCTTGGCCATGTGGTTAACTGTTTGCTGTGCATGTTGTTGCCATTGTAAACCATAAAGTAACCATGTTTTCCTACCTTATAGAGATGGTGGTGTCTAACTTGCCCAAATTCGCAACGTGTTAAACATTCTGCAGCTGGCGCTTCCGTAGTGCTAGACATAAATCTGGCCAAACGGTGCAGCAATGCCCGCTACCCTGCTAAAGATTAATTCCTCCTTCTGGTACCAGAGGATTTATGTATACTACTGCTTTATCAACTAGAAATGCAAAGGATTAGAAATTGTATAGCAGTTTTCAAATAAAAAACTGTAGTGGGTTTTTTTTGAAAGAAAAACAGGATTCATAGAAAGGAAATGTTCCTGCACCATTGAACTGTATGTTGCACTTCAAATGGGTTTTCCTGCTCTGAACTTCAATGTACATCTCGGCTGTCCTCTTACAGTAGTTTTCCATCTCTTCTCTCCCCCTCGGGAACGAAGGACAGACAACCGCTCTCTTCTTCAGACAACAGCAACGTTTGCCATTTCACAGAGGCTTGTTTTCAAAGAGGGTTTAATGTCCCCCAGTGTCACTGGAAGGGCAGATACTCCCTGACATGCCCATATGGCACAGGAACTGCAGCATGCTCTACATCCCTTGCAAACCTCTCCTAGGAAACACGAGATGCACTGCACTAGAAGCTGTCCCTCCTGTTTGATTGCTACGGGATTCAGAGGCACAGGATGCAATAAGGAAACTCTTTAATAAGTTAGGGAATTGTAAGAGCATAATATGGGTGCTGAAACAGAAGTTCACTGACAGTATTGCTGCAAGAATTGCTATTGCACAGTACAAGCTCCTCTGTGCTATCACTCTGTACCTCATGGTGTTGCTTTACTGCAAAGTGCTATGAAAAGCCATCAGACGGTGTTTTACATCCACTTCATATTTACACGGATGACCACAGATGGTAAAGTATAGCCATGAATCTGACCCAGAGCTGGACAAATGTTTATAAAGCTATTAAGAAAAAACCTACACCGAACAAACTGAGCTGACAATACACTATTCAAGTGGTTTAGTGTAGTATTTACTTGGTTACAACCCATTGACTATGATTACTTCTTAAAACATGAAGATTAAATTTGTCACCTGCTGACTTACTTATATTTTCCTTTATCAGACAATTACATTAGTTTTCTGTCTTTCTAATAGAGATCAGAATTACCAGCTGGTTTACATTTGCAGTTCTGCAGGGAATCAGCTTGCAGCTTCTTTGATGATATCAGCACAACGCTGGAAATGTCGAAGGAGCACTACACTCATAGTGGCAAGGGTGATCAAAGGGAGCACAAGGAATCAGAACTGTTTGCAGATATGGCTTAGGGGAATAATGTCCACAGCTTCTCTTCTATTATTTTGTGACAAGAAGTAGTTGGGTTAAAAATAAACCTGAGAAAATTTGCTTGAATTCTTCTTGCTTTTCCTGAGTTTATATCTGAACTATGAGTTGTACAGCAGGTTTGGGACACGCATAAGTGACTTTCAGGTCATGACACATACAGAAGAAAACATTGGGTGCTTTACAAACTGTGTGGCTTTTTCATTCTGTCCTCGTTTCCCTCACTGTTAATAGTGACATAGGAGCATTTTTTCCTCTTCTTTTTCATCTTTATCCACCTTTCTTCATAAAGCCACCAGCGATACCATAAAGCACGCCACATGGATTCAGTCAGTTGTGGGCAGTGTCTCCTATGACCTCTGATCCTGTGGCCACACTGAACCCAATCAGGGACACGTGGATGTCCCCGGAAAAGTCAGCAAGAGTTGCTATAAGTTGCCAGACCTGCAGCATCATCTACTGTTGACTCCTTGACATACCAAATCAGCAGAATGGACCTTAAAGCACAGAACATGCCCTGAACAGCCAGAAGTGGCATTGGTTGACACCTTTGTTTTTATTTATGCAGGCTGAAGGGGGGGAATTATAATATGATCCAGAGGCTAGACTACCTCTTTGTTGCACAGATTAATCACATGCCTGCATGCAAGATATGCAATGCACATCCTTCAGTAGGCAAATCTCCAATACAGAGTTTATTCTTTTTAATGACTCTGAGATCCTCAGATGTTTCAGTTACAAAATTTTATGGATGACCCTTGTTGTGGATTTTTTAGCCACGGCTTCCTTTCAGCTAATCTCTTCTTTTCCCCTAAGGGACTGACTGAAGATAGGCGGTAGTCCCTCCAACTATCACATGTTTTCCTGTTCCCTGCTCCAAGCCCTGACGTGGGCTTAACAGTAATTTTCAGCTGTACAACAAGAAGTGAGAAGTGTGAAACTGTTAAAATTATACAGCCACTGCTTCCGTCCAGTACTGAGTAGCTCTGGTAACCAATAATTAAATACATAAATTCAGTTCCATTAAATGGGAGAGATTAATATGGTTTCTCCTGGAAATGACTGGTTTAAAGCATGGAGAAAACAAATAAAGCAAGTTGCTAGACAAGCTGATTCAGTTTTTAGTGGAGATTATCAAACTTGGCTTTCCTGATACTTGCTACCCAGCTTTATAACATTTTAAAATGTGCTTTATTTTAGTTTAGTTTAAAAACTGATTACAGCCTAGTATACAGGAAACACAAAGACTCAGTGCCCATCCTAGCCAGGTTTTGAGAGAGATGCAACTTCTCATTGTCCTATTCCATTTCCACTATCAGTCTACTTTCTTGCTAAACACAGAGGAACAATAGAAAATAACAAACTATGCTCAAAGAAATTAAAGAGAAGTATAGTTTTGGAGTGAGAAAATAGTTTTGAATCCAGTTGGGATGAAATTAATTTTATTAATTTTGGCTAAACATATCTATTGGATCTTACTTCTGCACTGCTTTAAAATAAATTCATTAAAAGGCATTTTTCTGCGCAGACAACTGCTGGATGTCATACAGAGCCCATGCAAGCATAATAGTTTGTTAGCAGAAACTAATGAGTTAAAAAATAAAAAATGTGTCAAACAGTCACTAGGGCACAAAAATGACCCTATGCTCTGCTCTCTGTGGAATCTTAACTATGAAGTATAGTGTAGTTAAAGGTGACTGAGAAGCAAGCTGGCTAATGTTTATAATCCAATCCATCAGCTCGGTGACTCTCATCTAAAATAGTTTTGTCTTCCCAGTAGAGACTACTAAAAATCTCTAATAGCTCTCATCTCACTTTTTAAATTATTTCCATTTTTAAGTCAAAATTATTTGTCTGTTTTATTTACTGAGTGATCACCTGAAGTTGTAACAAACTGAACACCAGTCTTTGGAGTTTCAAACAGCATAGCAATTTCATTTTATAAAATGCATGCTTCATAATCCATGAATATTAAAGAAAATCTCATCTATTCTAAACCAACTTTCTCTAGCCTCCCTTATATTTTTTTCTTAGCAGCAATGAAGTTACAGCTGCAATACAACTTTTTATTGTAATGTTTTGCCGAAGGACCTGATCATAGAGGACTAGCAAAACTTGTACTGGAGAGCTTAAAACCTAAACCATTCTTCTATAATAGTTATGGAAGAGAAACAAATATGCACATTTCTGTATGGTTCAGAGTACTTGTCCATGCACAAAGGAATAATCCAGAGCTAAATTTCTCCAGCAGCCTTTCAAATACTCTTTATAGTCTCTAAAGTAATTGGAGTTCATCTGATTCAATGAAATTTTTTTTTCCTAATAACCTTATTGCAATTATTTTGGTGGCCCTGCTTACTTGAATCAGAACTGTTTAATGCTACATTTCTCTGAAATAGGAGTCAGAGCAAGGTCTGGCAGCTAATTTAAACCCAAGCTTTTGAGTTAAGTTTGGCTTCAATTTTTAAGCAAGTAAAGGAAGTGGCACAGAGCAATCTATCTTAACTTTTTCTCTGGGCTGTGTTCTGCCTGTTATTACTGTAAGCTGTACTAAAAAAGAGGAACAGCTGATTGTGGGTGTTTGTTAGGAGTAATGTAAAAAGGACATGCATAAACCTGAATTTGAATACAAGCTAATTATTCATTCCATTGAACCCACATCCTTGCATAGTCTTATTTTAGACTTTACCACCTTGTTCACAAAACTGACTGAAAAAAAATGAAGTGTAACACACTCTCATTGATTAGCACAAGGCTCTGTGGGAATCGCTGTGTGACTTCTTGAAAGCTGCTTAATTTGGGAGTCATCCACTCAGGAAACAAAAGTAGTGAAAATGTATTTTAACACACTCCAACAGCATTCATGAAGAGTGAATTTTCTAAACCATAGCCATTGTGAACTGTGAATCCATATGGCTCAATAAGTTCATACAGAACATCCAGTGAATAATGAAGAACAAGTAGATTTATAGCTGGTGTGAATCAGTACAGACCTATTAGCTTCCACAGAACTGCAAGTTAGACCCAGTATAGGAGCTGGCTTCAAATTCGAGAAAAGGAAAGGAAAAACATTTTCCTGAGGGTAATTTCTGTAATTATTAGCAGGAAATCTCCCCAAGTTTCTAAGCATAACAAACTGAGCCTCAAAAGAACTCCACTGAATGCCATAAATAAAGACATAACTATCTAAAAAAACGGACCAGAAGACTTCTGTGGACTAGCTGTGTTTTCCTGTAAAAATATTCAGCAAACAGCACCTTTCGCCGTCATACACCAGCTCTCCACGAATGCGTGGCTTTCTTTACCAGAACCTTGGACAGCAATAAAATGGTTTAATCAACGTTGTTAACCCATTGCCTCTGAGCCCTTTGGGTCTGTGGTCTTCACCCAAGGGTCTCTAGAAATCACCTGAGAAAATAAAAACAACTGACAAAAAAATGTAGGTTTGCATGCTGATTAAAAAAAACAATCTTTCAGAGCAAAAGACCCACAATGTGGCTTTACACATGCTATGATTTCTCGTCTGATCCTGAAAACTATGGGTTCCTGTTCTTTTTCAATATTGGAGATATAGCCATGTAGAAATACCAGCTCCACAGGCCCAGTCTGAGGAATCATGGTTGAACGTTTGGTAAATATTGAATTATGAAATTCAAACAAATCTGTAATTGCACTCGGAATCATTATTTTGCTGATAAATATGTTTATCCCAATGTTTTACCCTAGCTTGCGTGTAAAATCTTTCATTAGCATCATCTTCTGGAACTGGCCTTTTTGATGGTAGCCTAGATTCAGACCCAAACAGCTGTGCCTTAGGAAGCCCTCATGCAGTCCTTCTTGAGTTTTGTAAGTCCAGGGACCCTCAGTCTGCCGAGTCCTACGAACGCATTCACAAAGGCTTCCACAGCCGGTGGTGCAGCAGTAACGTGTAACCTCCATGTCTTCTCCCTACAGGAAGCCTCCTGTGCCTACGTGCTGATCGTGACGGCTGTGTACTGGGTCTCTGAAGCAGTACCTCTTGGTGCAGCAGCCTTAGTTCCTGCTTTCCTATACCCACTTTTTGGAGTCATGAAGTCCAGTGAGGTCAGACGATTATGCACTTTTTCACCATTTAATCTTCTTGCTCTCAGTTAACTATTTGAATAAAACTAATCTTACTGGACTAGCAAGACTAAGAGGTGCGGGAGAAAGAAGTGTACATCTTGTAATGCATAACTTCGCCCGACCAGCTCTTTCTTCTACTGAAGACAGATAGAGGAATGGCAATATTAGCCAAGAGGGGTGTCCATCCTGTCAGCTACTGCACTGCCAACAATTCCCAAAACCTATTGCATCAAAGGATCCCACTTTTCCCCTCCTCCAAAACCATGTAAACAGCAGTTATGGGGTAAACTGTGAAGTTTCCTTCCAATTACATTTATTATAGATCATGTATAAGGCACGAAGATATATATTGTAATAGCAATTACCATTTACTGTATAAGACTAGATAATTTTCTCATCCAGGTGAACGTCTAGTCCTTTTTCCAAGCCGTAACCTTAGTGCTGTCTTGTAGCCATGAGTTCTAAGGCAAAGGAGTAGCCGTACAAAAAAGTCTCTTTGATCAGTTCTGAATTTGCTTACTTGACTTTTTGGTGAATGCTGTTTTCTTTCATGATATGCCGAGAATTTATTTTATTTCATCTACTGCTTATTTTTTCCCTTTTTTTCCTCTCTCTTTTTTTTGGGGTGAGAGGGCATCACACTTGATTTACAAGGACTAGAAATACAGATAACAACACAGAGGAATATATAGCAACCATAAAGTTGTTGAATTTCTAATACAATCTGGCACCGAGCATGCCCATAAATGGATGGAGTCAAGTATGAACCAAGAGTTTTATGACCTGCCTTATTCATCCCAATGGTATAACAGCTGCATAATATAATCAGGTACATTTCCATACCAAGATGGTTAAATATTTTCAGGATTTTTTTTCCGAACACAAAGTAGTTACGCATCTTCATTACAAAGTTCTGCAGCGTATTGGTGAGGGAAAATTTAAGGGCAGTCTGACAGAAATTCAAAGTAATATCATATTAAATGACAGCTGGACCACTGCAGAGAATGTATTATTTGCTTTAGGAACAGAAATAAACCCCTGTATTTTAAAATACATCTCTCTGATGCTGCTGCAGTATTTCCAGTCTGCTGTTCTGGAGTGCCATAGAAACCCAGAGCTCTTGCCTAGCAGTTTCAGCTACAAATAACACAGAGGCTTAAGGACATGAGCCAGCATGTCTCATATGTGTACATGTGCATTAATAAGAATATTAGTATTCACTTGTTCTTTCAAAATCACTGTGAAAGGAATAAAGGAAAACAACAGATTCTTTGTGCTGCCAGCTTGATGGATTTCTTTCATTCAGTTCAAGATCTTTTTTAACAAGGCAGTGGGAAAATAAAGAAAGTTAATGAGAAAGAAACCAGTGGAAGAAAGCCAAAAAAGTGATATTTAAAAGTTCTGGCACACAACTATGATGGCCAAGCTTATTTAGGTCACCATGAGCTTTACTAAATAAAAAAATCGTTTTGCTGCAGCTTTAACAAAATAACATTAGTGTCATTGCACTTTTACGGAGGAGCATCAGTATAACTGAGGACAATGTAAGAAATACTGCTGCTGCCAATTTCACTTTAAAATGCTGGCGCCTACATTTTGTTAGAGGAACAGTTTTAAACTGAAGAAACTATGTTTTTGGAAAAATATTCCAGCAACAGCTTGGGAAGGATTGCATCAGAAGGAAATGAAAACCTTAGCTAGACTCCAAGCATCTGTTTATAACTTTTATTTTCTCCCATTTTGTTTGCTTTCATGCAAGAGACAGAGAGAGAGAGAACGCTTTGGCTTTCTTCGTTTGTTGTTTTTGCAGCCATTTCACAGAACATCTTCTTGTATCTTCGCAAGCTACACATTCAGGAATGCTGCTTTGGAGGACCATGCATGGTGTCTGAATTTTTTCCTGGGACAGTTGATTTTTTTTGCTCATCCCCTTTAAACTGAAGTTCTCTTTTTTGAAAGCCCTATTTTCCTGATACAATGGAGATGGTTTTCCATTGTGAAAAGTTCTGGCACAGGGTTTGTGGATCATCACAGCAATATCCCAACCTTTCTTTATTGCACGCATGTCCCAGAGGGCTTTCCCTGAAGCTGTAGGTTCTAGGGATGCCACATTTTGCCCAACAGTGGAACAAGACAGAAGAGATACAAATGAGATAGACAAGGACATCTCCAGCATGAAAAAGCAGATGAAGCACATGGATTAGCTGCCTCAGTACAGAGGTTTGGCTGTGGTTGTTTCAGTCTGGCCTAGCTGAATACGATTAACCGCAGGCAGTCAACATCCTGCTTAGAGAAGTAAAATTTCTCTTGATCACTTCAAAGCTGAGAAACCTACTAACAAGTGCATATAGACACTTGTTATTTGTAAACACAACATGAAAGATATCAACAAGAACATTTTGACTTATGAATTCTTCATTTTCTCCAGCTCCCTGTCATTCTTTCTCTAGAGGGAAAAAATCCACAATATGATACTTCTCACTCAGCATGCTCTCTGTGGAGGGTAGTTATGGCTTTTTTAACTATTCCCCCCTTGCCCTTAATGCAGGTGGCTGCTGAGTATTTCAAGAATACAACTTTACTCCTCATGGGTGTGATTTGTGTGGCAGCCTCTGTAGAAAAGTGGAATCTCCACAAGCGAATTGCCCTGCGTATGGTCATGATGGCTGGAGCAAAGCCAGGCATGTGAGTGAACTTTTGGCTTCGGGTTAGTCTAAGGCTGACAGCAGCAGCTCGAAAGAGCAAGTAATAGCTCTGACTTTCCCATCCATGGGCAAAAGCTAGCTTGGTTTGGGGATCTTTTTTCTACCTACCTTTCCTTTCAGAGCTTGAAAGCTTACAAATTTTCTGCCTCCTCCTACTCCTTGGCTTGTTGTCCCTTTGCTTCCTATTTTTTTACTGATACTGATTTTAGTCTCTCTGTTCCTTCTTTGCCTGTTGTTTAGCAAACACAAAAGGATGCTTAAATCCTGGATATGCTGAAAATTGCTGTTTCTCACATCACATGCTGATTTCCACGTGGGGCAGCAGCTGGCTTCCAATGACACATCGTCTTACGACAGTTCTCAGCCCAAGGCAACATATCATCTGCACACAGCACAGTACTTTGGCACCCACAAAAAGACCCCATGTAGTTATCAGTTGACTAACAAAAATGTTAGGCAAGGAGGCTTTTAATATTTCTGAAAGTGCCTCAAGAAGGTTTCCCTGTGTTGTACTCCAGGTTGCTTCTTTGCTTTATGTGTTGCACCACGGTGCTCTCCATGTGGCTTTCCAACACATCCACCACAGCCATGGTGATGCCAATCGTGGAGGCAGTGCTCCAGGAGCTAGTGAATGCTGAGGAGGAGCACGAGGTCATCAGTACTGCAGGCAGCACCATTACTGAAGAAAACGAGCCAATAGGTATTTGTCAATATTGGCCATTCTTTTCTTATTTATCAGTGACCAGACTCGTTGATACACATTATTTAAATTCTGTTCAGGTCAGAGCTGTCTGACTTCTGCTGCCAAAGACACTGGTCTATACTCTTTGTTTTTGTGCTCTGATATTTCTTCCAAAAAATGAAAGAAAGTTTCACAGAATCACAGAATGGTAGGCGTTGGAAGGGACCTCTGTGGGTCATCTAGTCCAACCCCCCTGCCGAAGCAGGGTCACCTACAGTAGGCTGTAGAGGACCTTGTCCAGGCGGGTAAAGATGTGAATTCAAGATGTGACTGGAGTTCAGAAACTATATTGAATTAAGGCATGCACTGGAATTTGTGTGCCATAAACTCTTGGGCCATAGGATTTTACAGGGTTGGAAGGAAACCTCTGAGAAGAAAGTCAAAGTAGTGCAGACGAGGCCCAAAAGTGTGCTCTGTGACAACCCCACGCTTGCTCATTCTACACCTGCCTTTCCAGGCTGCCCAGGCCAGAGTAGGTGCCACACAAAAAAAAATAATTGTAAGAGCTCTAAGGTTTGTTTTGTTTATTCCTTCCCATAAAGAAAGGATTTGGAAAGAAAAGAATCTGCCCTTTCTTTCAATTCACAGATTCCAGGCTGAAAATTATGTCATCTATCCTTGACTATTATATGTAGGTATGATCATCTTTAAATTGCCAGAGACACATGATCAGGACAATATGACACAATAAAATGCTGCTTAAGGGTCACAGAGTACCTGAGAGGGTTTGGGCAAGATTTTGATTGCCGTAGCTTCTTCACATTCAGTGGTGTGACCCAGGAACTCAGCTCAGTCCTTACCCCAAGGGCTGCTTTCTCTTCCTTCATTGCAGGTCTCGGCGAAAAGCACGGCCAACCTTCACTGGAGCTTATCTTCACCAATGAGGAGTAAGAATGAACCCTGTACATCACGACCAGAGATTTGAGCCCTACACAGGTTGCAATGAGATGAACCCAGGAGTAGAGCCAGGAAGGGGAAGCAGAAGCTTACAAGTGAATGTTTTAGACGTGACTGAGAAGGATTGCTTATATGAGAAATGGGATTAATGTAACGGTCTGGATCTCACTAAAGCTTCCCAGGATTCTTTTAGTTTTTAACACCATGGCTATTTTAGAGAGAAAGAAAATGTCTCTCAAGGTTTGAAAGATCTTTCTAAGTCTATGTTTGTGCTGTCCACAGATTTTAATTTCTGTTCCCCTGAAGGAACAGTGATGGAGAGGATCCAAGCACAGCATGGAGTGTCCACAGGACATATCCAGAGGGAAAACACTTACAGAGGATTCCTAACGAAAGCCAGACATGTCAAAACATTCATGAGAGAGATGGGGGGGCAACAAAACAACAACAAAAACCACCCCTCCTCCTCCTCCCCAAAAAAACTGTGAAATGTTTTTTTTAATACAGACAAAGTTCTGAAGAAGTTTGAAATGCTAACAGTTTCAACCAGGTGTCTGTTTGGGGTAAAATCTAGTAAGGTGAAAAGGGCAAATCAAGGAAAGGACTAATTTCTTTGTCAAATTATCAAATTTACCAGAATTTCAGGATACTCAGGAGAATATACTACATCATTGTCCTAAATCTATGTTATAGGCTAAATCCTGAGGATCTGCACATCTTCTTTCAAGGTGTGAGAGTAAATTGCACAATCCCTTGTCAAGCCCTTTCCATTTTGTTCATGATTGATTGCTCAAAATAAAAAAGAAACAAGTTCTTGTTACACCTTTAAAAAATTACTTTAAAACAAAACTTATCATTCAAACAGCACAGGTTGATGACTTCAAGTTAACTTGCAAGATCTAAATAATTTTCTTATTAGCCTGGAGACTAATGGGTTCTCCAATATTCCCTCTGTTGTTACCTCTTTTTATCCCAGCCATATTTCCAGTGTAATACAGAAACAAATTTTCAGCCTGGCATTGTGCCATTAATCCCTTTAAGCCCTATTGAAGAGTATGTTGGGATATTTCATAACAGAACTATTATTAAAATAGTGTCACTTGAAAAAGAGCTTGAAATTTGATGGAAAAAGAAAAGCAGCACATCTTCTGGCATTAAACATGTTTTAAATGCCACAGCAAAAGTTCAGTGGATTGTTTGCGTGGTCCAGATGCCACACAGGACAGATTTTAGTGAAGGCTTTAGTGTGGTACAGGTAGGAGCTCAGAAACAGCATTGGGGAGGTTGGTGGAGGAAGAACTTGAGTAGTACAAGACAGTGGTAGCACTGGATTGCCTGGTGATTCACTCTGGTGTGAATGGAGTCTATTCCTAGAATGGGGTGTATGCTACCTAGAATACATATCTTTTCTTTCATGGAGGTGCAACCCCATTGCTACACAGCTAGACAGAGCTGTGAAATGTAATGACGACTCTTATGTATATGGCCAAGATACCACATATGAGGTACTAATAAACGGTATTCTTCACCATTTCAGTAGGCACTACTTCACCCACAGATGTTGCCCCTCCTACCCATGATGTCTGCCTTTTGAGGGAGCTGGGTGAACAGGCATTTTTAAAGTCTATTTTCCTTTCTTTGTTTTTAGTGCTACTACTACTGACTTCAGCTCCTTGATGCACTCAAAGGTATTGTCATAGGTAGTATCTTCTGAGCTACACTGTCTTCTAATGCATGAAACACCAGAGCAGAGCCCACACAGCTCTGCAACAAACTGCTGTTTCCTTTATTTGAAACAAGTAGGGGTTTTTGGCAGAGAGTACGTATTCTGGAATGCCCTGCTTTGTATTTGGCCTGTCAGCCCAAATCCAGTTGGGGAACATTAGCCCGTAGTGTTTTTGTACTTGTTGCTGGAGAGCCTGAGATCTACTCAGCAAATTAACAACCCCATATGGTTTCTAGCAAGTTCAGATATGATCTTTTATTGTTCAGGTATTGCCAGCTTCTGCAGCTGAGACACCTCAGCACAACCTACATATATCACAAAGCCACAGCCTCTGGCAAGGGATCTGTTAGATTGTCCTACATGGCCGAGAGAGAAGACCTAAACTTACTATAATACTTACTACAATATGAGTTTTAAGATCACTTTAAAATAAAATCAGCTTGCTTTTTTTTTTTTAAATCTTTTTTCTTCCACTGTAAAGTTTACAGCTAAAATTTTAGTGGGCTTTTTTTTGTTTTCAAGAGCCCACGAGCCCTGACCTTTACAAAGCATCATCAGTTCCAATCTAAGTGCCCCTAAGAACAGAAGAAAGGCTAATCCAAAGGCATTTACCTCCCTACAGAGCATGAATGGTGTGCACAACCCTATTGGAACGATGAATTCTAAGAGCAATGGGCAGCACCTGCCTCAGGTAAGGAGATGTTAGACCCGGGGTGGTGAGGGAGAAGACAGACGTGAACATCATCTGCTTCCCACTGTTTCATATTTGTTCCTTGTAAGCTGTGTTACATGCGATTGTTCTCCATCATCTTACAGCATCTGTGGCTTGGCCCTTTGCTAGTTCTTACTCCCAATTAGACGCCCCCAGCGCAGGTATTTTCAGAAGACCCTCCCCCAGCAGCTAGTACAATTCATGTAGCTTTAAATTCAGTAACATGATCACAAGTTTCCCTTCTTATCTGGCTGTTCTACCCAGTTTATTTTTGCAAAGCCTCCTTGGAAAATAGCCCAACTCAAAAATAACAATCCCTGACACACAATATCCTACTCAGAACTAAACCAGCAGCAGGCAGGGACCATTTAACTGTTCAGCCAATTTGTCAGGTAGTCTTAGTACCCACCTCCTTTTTGACTTCCCAAATATCCACCCTCAAAATCCTCTACTACATCAGTCCATTCCCGTATTTCTACTTCTTTTAACTGGATCCAAGAAGTGACTGCTGCTTGGACTACAGTTACGTAGTATCTTAATGGGATAAGCTGATGTCCAGGAAAGATTAGGCAAAAATCAACACGCGAATTTGCATTCACAATTCAAAAGAATTTGAGTGCATGTTTCCATAAAAGGATAATGCGCTGCTCCTGATACCTTATTTCCTTTCATACCCATTTCCCATACACATTCAGTAGTTATTTTATAACAAATATACTCACTTCACTTTTAACCTACAGGGATTTTAGCCAGGGTAGCCTCACAATGATGATGAGCCTACAGCATGACTGATTTTACTACATAAACCCAAATCTAAATTAATAAATCTAACCGATCTATCTGAACCACTTGCTGCCTTTTTCCTGATTCAAAATTACAGCCTTGGGTTGCATGTGAAGTGTCTTAAGTACTGTACCTTTTTTTCCCCACTGCAAGAACTTAATTTACCAACGTGGAGACTTTCCTGTCACTGCTAAGAAAGCTTCTTTTGGAGCAATATTTTCCTGCAGCTTTTGCTTCCATGTTCCCACCGCCCAGCCTTTTTCATGCCAGTTCTGAGACCCCTAGCACTCCACTCCTCACTAGAGGCCCTGAGCCAGTATAAGTGCAAAAAGTCCACCAAGCATTTGTCTGGTGGCTGCTCATAAACCTCAAGGATTATAGATTCCTATGGCATCCTGCCCCTGCAGCCCACAAAGGCTTTCAGTATCCCGCTGAGATTCCAGTCAGAACTGGATCCAGCCCAAACCACAGACAGAAGTCTGATTACTGCTTGTCCTACATTTCTGCCACAGATCAGGCAATTTCAGGCCCCTGGACAGGTTCCTAGTTCTGATTCCAGTTAATCCCTGTGAAGAAAAACCTGCCCCCTCTTACACAAACCAGTTGTTTCTCTGCGACCAGTATCACCATGGCATTAGAGCAAGCTGGGCTGCTGTTCTGATTACCTGCTGTCTTTGGTGAATGTATCCCCTCACAGGCTCAGATACTGGTCCTGCCTCCTACGCCCTCAGAACTGGGCCTGAGCGCTAAGTACCGGTATCAGACCAGACACGACCACATGGTCTGTAAATGCCTCTCACTGAGTATCTCCTATGCGGCAACCATTGGAGGACTGACAACCATCATGGGAACCTCCACTAGCCTCATATTCTTAGAGCACTTCAACAAGTAAGTGATATCGCAGTTGTGTGAGAATGGTGGTTGGGTCATTATCATCTCTGTGGCTTTCCCCATGGGTTATTACTACCCCAAGGAACCCTTGCAAGACAGCGTCTCTGAAGGCAATTTTTTTTCCTCCTCTACTCTAATGTTATTACCTATGGTTAACGGTTGAAAGGGGGAGCTTAAGTGAGTAGATATCCATGTCTTTCTCCCATGCAAAATAAAAATGCCTCAGCATGTGGTAACATTTAAGTTTCTTTAGAAACTTCTTTTGATTTTACAAACTAATTATCATGAAGGCAGCAGGCACCTTGGAAAAGTAAACAATAAACCCATGAAAATATAGCAAAAAAGACAAAGAAATACAAAAGAAGAAATGTCATGAAATCAGCTTCAAGTTCCTCTGTGGGTTCTTATAAAGCAAGTTCTTATGGTGAACCTAGAGGCATCCTGGGCTGCTCAATATATGGTGCAAAAATAAATAAACTCAGAAATGTGGCCTTACACCTTTGCTTCAGAGAAGATAAGAAGCAGCGCTCTGGTCAGCGAAGCATTTCCTTTGTTGTATATGTCCAGGGCTCTTGAAGACATGAATGTTACCTCTGTCAGGAGACTGGTGGTACTTCTTCTCACGCACAGATATGCGTCCAAGCTCAAACCTGATTCTGATTACGTACTGCTGCCACTACTGCCATGGTATCCTTCATTTCAGTCTCTGAAATGGTGGTAGCAAAGAAAACTAATTTTGGGAGCCATGCTCAACCCAAGGATTTGGATTTTACAGAATTTCCAGAGATCTTGCTGTTATGACAGTTTCATCAAATGCACCTATCAGGCATCTTTGTCAGGGCCCAGCAGACTGTAGTCATTATTTGTGTGGGCCACAGTAGGACATACGAAGACATTCTGGGTGAAATAATTCTTAAGTCTGCCAACACTAAAAGAGCTTTAACAAAAACCACAGGTAGGGCCAGAATTTCACTCTGGATAACTGTAAGGGTTTCTGAAGCTGGCTAGACAATCCAGGCCATCTGGTCTTAAAGGTGTGAAGTGCTACATGGGTCATCTGTTGGTCAGGTGTGGCCAATGATGGACACTCTTTGGCAATTGGTTTCACCAGGCACATGTAATGCAGCTGTTGGAAATACATACTGATGCAATTCTTCTATCATGCCATGCATAACAAATATACATACATATGTTTGCATGTGCATCTATGCGCATCGGAGGTACCTGTACTTTTACTGTTCTAACTTCTCGTACATCCTTTTTATCCTTTACAGCCACTACCCAAATGCTGAAGTGGTGAATTTTGGAACGTGGTTTTTGTTCAGTTTCCCCATCTCCCTCATCATGTTGGTCCTGACTTGGCTCTGGATGCATTGGCTGTTCTTGGGTTGCAAGTGAGTGCAGGTTGTTCAAGACATGTGGATTAAGAAAGCAGAGCATCTGTGGCTCCTCTAGAACACGTCTCATAAAGATGTTTCTAGTTGCAAATGACAAAAACTAAGGCACAACTTCCTTCTTGTGTTGCTGATGGAAATCCTTATTATGCGTTCAGCTGTTTTTTTGACTCATGACCACGAGGATCCCCTTGTGGACCAAAAATACTGTTAAAAGTCCTTTTGGGAAAGTACACCTTAAAAGATGGATAGAAAAATAACTGCAGGTGAACAAGTTACTGTTACAAGTTATCTGCCCTCAGCTCAATGAAATTAATGTAAGACCAGTTAAAATTAAAGGTAAACAGACTCCACATATATTTCTTCTTAAAGTGGAGAAGACTCACAGCCTAAGAGACAAGTACCTTTTGAGACCAGTAAGTCCCTTAGCCCCAAAATAAGAACAAGGCTCAGTCTCCTAGTTCATTTGTACAACGTATTCTCTTTGCAGAGACACTCAGCAAAGTTAATTGACTAAATGTGTGCATTAGTTAATCTAATTAGGTAATCTACATTAAATTGTGCTGCAGACACATTTACTCAGAATTAAAGCAGCCTTGATTTGATTTAGTTTGCTCTTAAAAGTAAGCTGAACTGACATCCCTAATTCATTTCACCTAAGACAATGAATAAACTGATAATGACTTCTGTTTGCTGTTGACCTTGACTAGATCTGAAGAGGTAACCTAGAGGTGAATAACCCCATGTCCTTCCCTCAGTCTCCTGAGCCTTGTACTTCCCAATTAAAAGGCTAAAATAAGTCCTTTTTTACTTTTAATCTTGAAACGGGCCCTAACATGACCCTCAATTACTTTCTTTTCTTTAAAATTAATATAATTGAAATTCCACATTGCATCCAAGGCCTCATGCTGATTAATGTTGTTCTAAACACCAGAGACTGAAGCATTATCGACTTCTTGAGAAGTATTGGCTGATTCCAAGCCTCCTTAATCTCTGACTCCTGTTTACTGCAGTTCATTAAAGAACATATTATGTTAGGAGCTTGGCTATAATACTCTGCCTTCACATCCTCCTAAGCCTACAAACACTTATAACATGTTGAAACAGCTGCCGAATGCCTGTGCCCAAATGTGTACTGAGTTCCCATAAGGTTCCTGCTCTTTTCCTAGGAAGACCAGGGTCATCAACCTGCTCTTGCTTAGCGCAGTTGGAACAACATGTCAGACTTGCTTTTTAGTTTCTAGACTAAAAGGCAAAGGATAATAGACCCACCAAACCATTTTTTTCCAGCAAAGCAGAGCGAAGGGCAGAATCATTACTATGAAACTGGCCATTATAAAGCACATTGCTCTTCTCTTCCAGTAGGTGCATTACTGCTGGTGGATTTTACTGGACTCTAACAGCAAGGTTTGCAAGGAAATTTAAATACTTACAGGCGCAGGGCAGTGCTAAAGTGCACCAAAACCAAGTGCCACATAGGTGCCCATTTATAAGTGAAATGAAAAGCCTGTATTTTGAGCTACGCAAATTCCTTTGAGAATCTGGCCACAACTAGATACACGGAGGGAGACTGTAGTCCATGGTCTGGTCAGTGCTATGGCATGCATCTCTAGTAGGGTACCAAAGGAGATCTTAAAATAATAAGAACTATAAAAGCAGGGCATTGTGCTCCCATGGTACTTCAGCCAGTGACGTCCCTGCTGCTGTAGCCTATTTTAGGCTGGCTTAGCTGCAGAGGTTTCTCAACCTATCCCACACATGTCTGTGGGATAGAGCATACAGCCGGAGCAGAAAAGCAGAGGTCTGTGACTCAAAGCACAGAAAAGTAACATTACTGGAAAGAAGAAAAGGAAAAGGTTAAAGTGAGCTTGCAAATATCTTAATTTTCAGGCTTTGTTACAGTATGAAGGCAATCTGAATAAATGAAGGGTTTCACCTAATTTTCATACAAATGTACAGCAGGTTTAAATACATTCAGCTACGAAATGTGCTCGTCCTTGTGTTTCCCTGGCAGAAGTACAGGCACTTTTCACCAGGACAAAACGCTAGGCTGATTGCCATGGCCTCTGTGGCAGATACAATTTGGTGCTACACTGCTTGTGTCTGGTTTAGAAACAGCTAGTGCTAGTCGAGGCAGACAGGTCCTGAAAGGTACTGGGTCCCTCAGCACAGCTTGCTCCTTTTACTTCCAGTGAATCTGGAATATTCCAGCCAAACCTGGGCTCAAAAGCCAGACCAGGCCCCATATATGTTGGATACCCCAATCCAACTGGAAAGCATACAATTCCCCCATTAAAAAATCTCTTGGTAGCTGGCCTCTGTCACAGTCGTTCCATGTGATGACAGAAATTAGCCATAGCCTTTCGAGGTTGCTGGCACCAGAGAAATCTGGCCACTGCCACCTGTCTGAGGAAGCCTACAGAAAGGGAGCCCAGCCGCAGCTCGGGATGGCTCAGTGATACCAGTCAGAATTAATCGGAGCACCCTGGGGAGCTTCCTACTCAGTCTAGGATTGATTCGCAGAAGATCTGGAAACCAGACTACACAATGATCACAGGTAATAATTTCCTTTCCCATTGCCATCAGGCCTTGCCCCTGTCACATCTTCTCCCAGCAGCCTCTGGTAACTGGAATTTTCAGTTTGTTTCATTGCCGTTATTTTTTATGACTTTTTTTTTTCCACTCAATGCCCTTGTCTAATTTTACTGTGCTATCTACCTCAGTTTTAAAGAGACCTGTTCTGTGAGCAAGAAGAGGAAGACCAAACGGGAAGAAATGTCAGAGAGAAGAATTCAAGAAGAATATAAAAAACTGGGAAATGTTAGGTAAAGCAGACCTGCCTTCCACAGACATTTGCCTCTCTGGGCAGGACCATCCTTTCATGTTGCCCTCCATGTTGCCTTTGGCTCATGTAGATTCTTCTTACTCTGTTAGCTCTTTCTCCTCCTTTACAGGATAGGAACAGAACTAAATGCAAAAATGAACTAAAATCAAAGACTTTGTTACAAGCATGCATTTATTTACTCATTTATTTATTTCTGAAGAAAACGGAAATATTCAGGTTTCCAAAGGTCATCTGAGTCAAGGTTTGTCTCTACCTTTGAATCAAACCATTCCAGGACACCCCTCCCCAATTCAGGCGAATACTTCTTTTGGTGGCTAGAAATTCCCTGTTGGCAAAGGCTTTGCAGCAATGTCCACTGTCACAAGATGTCCAGCCCTCTCAGTTGCCCATCATCTTTATCTATGGTGACAAAAAATCTCTCTTCAAAAGATTATTTTGCAAGATTTTCATTTTTCAGAAGTGATGACATGGCAGAAAATCCCTTCTTCCCAACACATTTTTGTGTTGTTCAGCTGAAATTTTGACAGATCAGCTTGCTGAATATGATCAGCTCTGAATCTAAACTGTTGTTCAGATTGTGCCTAAATAAGAAACCATACTTAATTTAAATCTATCCTAAATTAAAACTCAGTATCCTCAAGTCACCTTTAATCTTATATTCATTCCATGCGCTTAAAATATTTGTGCTAATCCACATTGTCATTTGCTCTTACACTTTCTACACTTTTAAAAACTGCAATAGAAAGTGTTTATAGTGGAATAGTAACATGAGCTTTACCTTGTTACCACACTTCATCAGATAATAATGCAAATACAAAGCAAGCATTTATAAATATTTTCCTTCAGGTCTTGCTCATGAATGACTGAATTGCAAACACAGATGGATATTTTTAGCCTATTTTTTACTAGGTTCGGATGGTTCCCAGCTGGGGGCCAAATGTAGAATTCTTTAATTCAAACTAATCTTCCTTTCTATTTTCCGTAGGTTTCTTACTCTTATTGTTGGAACCAATTTCTACTTTATTTCTTCTGGAATTTGCTCTCATGTTTTCAGACAGACCTTGGATTGAATTCTCACTTTTTTCTTTGTTTTTATTGCTAGCTATCCTGAGATGGTGACTGGATTTTTCTTCATTCTGATGACCTTGCTTTGGTTTACTCGTGAGCCCGGCTTTGTACCAGGATGGTCATCTTTTTTTGAGAAGTAAGTGAAATTCCCTAAACAACTGCAGAGGAATATGCCCTTGCATTTTCTGACTTTCTGCAATAATTTTTGGCCATAAAACATCATCAGCCACTTTTAACAAGGTAATGAAAAATGAAGTCTTTGTTCAAAAATTAGGATTTTTGCTTTTATACTACATCTGTTCACAGGGAAGCAAATTGTATTCTTTCTCAGTAAACAGAGTGAATAAACTAGAGGAAGTAAAATGTATTTCAAATGTAAAAAAATAGGAGGGTTAGATTCTGAAGCTAAGACATTTTAGTGCATTCATAGAGAAGCTATCACTGGAATAGATTGCAACGATAATTCAAATTAAAATTATTTTTTTCAATTTTATTTTGAAAGAATAATGTTTGGCAAAAAGTGTATTTTTGTGAAGATAGATGTTATCAAGAAAATCTCTATTTCCATTAAATATTACATAGAATGATGACTGAAGCAAATAATTTTTCTTTTATTTTCAAAAATGTTGAAACAAATTAGGTTAAAAGTAACTATAACACAAAATGCATATCGAAGAATAAGTGATTTGAACTTAAATTTTCTTTAAGTTTCTGCTGCATAAAATTATTTCATTTTTTCATGCTAATTTTCACAGAAAAACAATTTCTAATATTGGGATTTCCTGAGGATCTCTGGAGTTCGGCACACCTCAAAATACTTTTTCAGATTGAGTTTTAAACATTTAATTTAAAATCAATCTACAGTTCATTTCTAAAGGATCAGCTGAGTCTGGCTTTCCCCAGAATGTGTTTAATGTTTATTGCTTCTAGTAAACACACTATTTTTCTGTACCTCTGAGTCAATAGATTTGTAAACCAAAAGGGATTTCTTTTTTTACTGGCATGTTAAAAATTGTTGAGCAGCGATTGAAGTTGGCTAATGGGTCAGTTTAATAAATGGGAAAAAAATCAAATCTGTATACTTGATCTGCAGACATATTTTTCTAGTGGATTCAGATGTGGAAATACAACTTCACCAATGTGCTTGGAGCCATGTACCTTGCTTGGAAACATTCCTGTTGGTGTGTTTTTATGATAACCCCACTGTTCCTTTCCTAGGAAAGGTTACCGGACTGATGCCACTGTCTCTGTATTTCTCGGGTTTCT